CTTACTCGCCAACATCCCCCAGCTATAGCCCAACGTCCCCCAGCTACAGCCCAACCTCACCGAGTTACAGCCCCACGTCTCCATCTTATTCCCCAACTTCTCCATCTTATTCCCCGACCTCCCCGTCTTATTCTCCCACCTCTCCAAGCTACTCTCCAACCTCCCCATCCTATTCCCCAACATCTCCGAGCTACAGTCCCACTTCGCCCAACTTCACACCCACCTCCCCAAGTTACTCTCCGACCTCTCCATCTTACAGCCCCACCTCACCTTCCTACTCCCCCACCTCTCCCAATTATACCCCAACCAGTCCCAATTACTCCCCCACATCTCCTTCTTACTCCCCAACTTCGCCGTCCTACTCTCCATCCAGTCCACGTTACACCCCACAGTCTCCCACCTACACCCCAAGCTCGCCCTCTTACAGCCCAAGCTCTCCATCCTACTCCCCCACCTCTCCAAAATACACTCCCACCTCCCCCTCCTACAGTCCCAGCTCTCCCGAATATACCCCAACATCCCCCAAATATTCCCCCACTTCCCCGAAGTACTCGCCCACTTCTCCCAAATACAGTCCCACTTCTCCAACCTACTCCCCAACTACGCCCAAGTACAGCCCCACTTCCCCTACTTATTCTCCAACTTCTCCTACCTACACCCCAACCAGCCCCAAATATTCCCCCACCTCTCCGACTTACTCTCCAACTTCTCCCAAATACTCACCCACTTCCCCTACCTATTCTCCAACTAGTCCAAAGGGCTCCACCTACAGCCCCACTTCTCCTGGCTACAGCCCCACCTCTCCAACCTACAGCCCAGCCATCAGCCCTGACGACAGCGATGAAGAAACTAATTAAAGATGGCTGGCGTCTGGGTTTGTCCTACTTCCCTGATTGGCACTCTGACCCTGGGATAAAGACTGAAGGAAAGCCACTCAGCTGGGGTTGTTGTGGTTTACAGGGAAGGCTGAGGAAACTGGGATCCCACATGTTGACATCCTTTTTGATTTTTTTCTTTTGGACTTCTTGAACAGTTCTTAAATGGCCTCACTAAACAGGCTTCAGTGGTTGCATCTGTCAGAGGTTTGAACTACAAGCCAAACAAGGCTGCCTTTGTATTGACCATTTTGGTCGCTCTAAGTTTAGAGGGAGAACCATTGCTCAAAATTGGTGGAAAGATGCAGGAGATTGACTGCTTTTGGAGGAGAAAGATCATTTGTTGTCGTCCTCTTTCCATCCAGTAATTTCAGTCTCCCTTACTTTCTCTCAAAAATTCAGTGTTGGATGTAAATGAAATCTAAGAAGTATTGCCAAAAGCCTTCAAACAGAAAACAGTGGATTGTATCAGAAAAGTTTCAAATGAAACCTTGAAAAATATCTATAACGTAAATAGAAAGGGGGAGAAACTAACCTTTCTCACATTTTACAGCTTTTTGTTTCTTAGTGTAAATAAGCGCTTGCTCGCAGTTTTGATTCATTATTCCAGGTCAGAACTGAGAACTGTTTAAATATTAATGTTGATTTTCTGTCTAATTTGTTCACTTATGTTATTTCTAAAGCAGCAGGAGGTTCAAAATGGCTGTTTATTAAAAAACAGGTTAAAGATGGCTGACACACTTTGTGCAGATTAAAAATGTCTTGTAATACTGTAATCTAATGTGTGCCGGCCAATGGCATGGTTAAAAGTGTTGTGTAGTGATTGCCCTCTTTAAGAATAGGAGAGAGAGAATGGATGCTTGATTTGAAGCATCAACTTTCTAGTCAATTGTCCCCAAAAGATGCAAGCCTTATCCTTCACCAGCATCTGCCCAGTAATTTACAATTTCAAAAAACTGCACAAAAAAGTGGTAACCAGCAGTGGAGTGGGAAGTTGCTACCTTTTTGGGGGTTTTTTCGGGGGGTTTTCTGAGTGAGGTTGGAGCAGGGCTTTACGTAAGATGCCCCATGTTGATATATATATATTTTTTTTAAACCACCTTGGTTCAAATCTAATGAGTCCTTCCTTGTCCTCAGCACTTAACCCTTTAATATAATAAGTGTATAATTGCTTTTTTCTGATATTTGCGTTTGATAATCTCTTGTGTGAATTTCTGAGGAAAAACATTTATTTTACACTATTTTTCTTGTGCTGACTTCATTGTCGTTGGGTCAGCTTTGCTTTTTGGATTAAGTGCTGGGGGAGGGGAGAAAGGTGCAGTTTGGTTTGTTTCCTTTCGAATATGTACCGTTTCATAACTAAATTTCGTCAGCTGATTCTGAATCATCTTGTGCTCAAACAGTAGAGGGCGACAGAGACTGATTTTACTCGGGCGTTAGAGGCATTTAGATGTTTTTGAGCGTTACCTTTTTAAAACCTGAACGCAAGTGGCTACTGTGGTTCCCTCAACTTACTCTTCCAACTGGACAGTGGTAGTTGCAGGAGGTTTTGTTGACTTGTAAAAGACTTTAATGCTCTTGCATATTTCAACTTTAGATTTAAGGCCTTAGATCTCACATGACAGTCTCTTTAATGCCCTTGTTTGCCTTCAGTTTCATGGATATTTCAAACAAGTCCAGTTAATACTCTATACCCAGGCTCCCAATAAGTGTGTGTGTGAGTATGCGAGTGTGTGTGCATGAAAGCATAAATGGAAAAGACGGGGTTTTCTTGAGTTTGAGTAATAACTGGGTCGGGTTTATGAGGAAAGGAGAATTTAAATTAAGAGAAATTGCCACTGTATAGACATCAATCTGATACTTCATTCTCTGTATCTGTTTTGTTTGTTTTTTGACTTGGAAAAATAAAAAATTTGACTAAACTATTGTTCATTTGTATTTTTTAACCTGGCTGTTGGCTGTTATAATTAACCTTAAAGGGGTCATATGATGCGATTTCAAGTTTTCCTTTCTCTTTGGAGTGTTACAAGCTGATTGTGCATAGATTAGATCCCTGAAGTTGCAAAGACTAAAGTCTCAAAACCAAAGAGATATTCTTTATCAAAGTTAAGACTCTGCCACGCCCCCCTAAAACGGCTCGTTCTAACACGCCCCCACATATCTACCTCACTATGTGGAAATATTAGCATAATGCCGCCCAAATGTGCACGCAAAGAAAGAAGGCGTGGCAGTTAGTGTTGAAGCAGCCATGTCAAGGAGACGCTGTGTGTTTCTAGGCGAAAGCAAAAGCACTTTACTTGGCCTTCCGAAAGTAGATGCATTTAGGAATCTTTAAGATCACTTACAACAGAACAGCAATGCATTTTATGGACGACCGTTTCGTGAACCTAGGAGAGGAGGTAATTCTGACTTTGCTATGACAATCTGGCACTTCTGAATCAACTACTGTTTTGTTATTAGTTTAAGTATTTGCTATTGACTGTTCAAATGCGGAGTTTTGCGCATCATGTGTGTGTGTGTGTGACCGCTAATGTCATTTACCTGTTGCGTTGCCCCTGTGGTTTATGTTATATTGGTAAGACTAGCAGACCTCTAAAAACTCGCATCTCTGAACATCGATGTGCAATTAGACATCGCGATCCAAAAAGTCCGGTAGCACAGCACTTTGCAGATTCAAGACACTCAGTTTCCACTCTTCAGTACATAGGTATTGAAGTAGTGAAGTGTCCGCGTCGCGGAGGTGATATCAATAAATTGCTTTTACAGGGGGGGGCTTTCGAATATGCACTGTTTCATATCTGGCGTCATTATGCCCCTAGACCATGTGGTCATTTGTTAACCTAAATTTCGTCAGCTGATTCTGAATCGTCTTATGCTTGAACAGTAGAGGGCGACAGAGACTGATTTGACTCGTTAGAGCCATTTAGATCTTTTTGAGTGTTACCTTTTTAAAACCTGAACGCAAGTGGCTACTGTGGTTCCCTCAACTTACTCTTCCAACTGGACAGTGGTAGTTGCAGGAGGTTTTGTTGACTTGTAAAAGACTTTAATGCTCTTGCATATTTCAACTTTAGATTTAAGGCCTTAGATCTCACATGACAGTCTCTTTAATGCCCTTGTTTGCCTTCAGTTTCATGGATATTTCAAACAAGTCCAGTTAATACTCTATACCCAGGCTCCCAATAAGTGTGTGTGTGAGTATGCGAGTGTGTGTGCATGAAAGCATAAATGGAAAAGACGGGGTTTTCTTGAGTTTGAGTAATAACTGGGTCGGGTTTATGAGGAAAGGAGAATTTAAATTAAGAGAAATTGCCACTGTATAGACATCAATCTGATACTTCATTCTCTGTATCTGTTTTGTTTGTTTTTTGACTTGGAAAAATAAAAAATTTGACTAAACTATTGTTCATTTGTATTTTTTAACCTGGCTGTTGGCTGTTATAATTAACCTTAAAGGGGTCATATGATGCGATTTCAAGTTTTCCTTTCTCTTTGGAGTGTTACAAGCTGATTGTGCATAGATTAGATCCCTGAAGTTGCAAAGACTAAAGTCTCAAAACCAAAGAGATATTCTTTATCAAAGTTAAGACTCTGCCACGCCCCCCTAAAACGGCTCGAATAATGATCTTTAAAAAAGCATCATATGACCCCTTTAAAAGAACAAGTCACCTGAAAAGGAATTTTGTTTTTTTTTGTTTTTGTGCGTGTCCCACAGAGGAAGTTATACAGGTTTGGAACAAACAGTTTTTTTGTCTATATAATGGTTTGAAGTGACAAAATTAAGGCTTAGACCTAATTTTCTTTCATAAAACATTCATTAAAGAATCCTTCATTTCAATATGACATTGTGCTCCAAGATAAGTTTTGCAGTTTTGAAGTATCTTGTAGCACAATGTCATATTGAAATGAATTGGTGAACTGCATGTCATTGTTCACTTCAATTTGGTGTCACATAACTTGTGACAACAGGCTGTGTTTAGGATGAACTTCTGTTTTACAGCCTGTTATACCTAGGAAGAGCGATTTCCATAAGAGCACCATTTAATTTTGTATGCTCTGTTATCAAATTTCCCATTTTGAATTTCTAAATGAAGATGTGCAATTTGTGTATTCCTTTACATAGACATGCCTCTTGTTCCAAGGTACCTGAGCCAATATTGCAGACATTTTATACCTTACAGTTTCTTGTTTTCGATAAACCACCGAAACCACAGTCCAACCCCTGGGTTTCCTGTGCTCTTATAAATGTCTGCGTGAATGCAGTCAGTCACAGCCACTGAGTGTGCATGCCTAGCTGCATTTTGTTAGTTAACACAATTTTTAGTTATGACTATGGTTTATTACATTCATTTCTTGTGTCCACGGGCAAGCCCTGACATTATCATGAATGCTTTGTGACTGACTGGGTGCGACTCCTATATATATATATATATATATATAT